TTTTTTTTTTTTTTTTTTTTTTTTTTTTTTTTTGATAAAATTTGCTATCGATAAAATAAACACTTTCATTTTTACTTCAAAATCAAATTAGCATTTTCTTGAATTCTAGAATCGATAATTCTTGATCGATCGATCGATCGATAAAATCGATTCGTTAGAAAAATTATCTTACGTAAAAAAAAAAAAAACTTATGAAAGATCGAAAAAATGGATCTATCGTTCTAACATTATATTCTCGCGATTTCGAATGCGATTGTAGAACGGATAAAATATAAAAGAACGCGTGTGTGTCGAGAAGCAAAGTTGAATAAATGCCAGTCAATCGAGGGTATATTTTTTTTCCCAAACAACCCTACTATCGACGAGACTGCTCTTATATGACCAATATCGAAACCGGTTTGGGATGAAGGTTCAAAGAGAAGACGAGCAAGACATCCGGAGGAATAATTAAATCAAGCCTTGAAATGTCACCAACAAGTTTACGTAAAGCAGCGTTAAACGATAATATTTCGAGTTACGCAAAACTCTCTCTCTAATATATATGTATATATATATATATATATATATATCTTTGTATGCTAAGTTATTTTGTATCTGAACTAGTCTGCGTTTAGCATATTTATGTAATTGTAACTAACTTTACATTCTTGCAATTGCATACATTTAAATAATTATGATTATTTATATTATTCGTAGTTGAAATTATATTTATAATATTTACTTTTATTTCGTTTTCAATATCAATATCAAATATTTATTAAGCAATTTTTCAAAAATTAAAAAGAAACTCAAAAATATTATTAGAATACGATAATTAAATATAATAATTATATTTTACTTATCTGTTTTACGAAACGAATAATTTAATACACACAATTTCGATCGAGGAAAGCGAATCTATTTTTAACAAATAGAAAGCAAAAAATTTTACCAACTTGATATTTGTGATAGATATCAAATATCTTATTCGTCGTATATATTTCTTTAATTCGTTGCGCAAATAACAAGTCGGTGTTTGGAATTTTTTACATAGGATAGATTTCTTGATTTTTTATTTCTTTCAATATTTCCCTTCTCTTCGCGAATATTCGTAATTCTATAAAGGAATTCCTGAAAAACATGTTTTCGCATCTGAC